GTAAAAGACGGGTTCTAAATTCCATTTGAAAGGCTAGATGGAATTCGATAGACAACTTTGAAGGCACTATTTTTGTCCACTTTCAATCAAATGAACCAAAATAGAACTTCTTATAGATTTTATTTGACCTTTTCCAAACCAAGAAGGAAGATGCTCATTAGTGCGTTTGTTACGCTGGGAATATTTAAAGATTTGAAACACGTGTCTTAGCCATCTCAATCGATGCAGCCTCACATTGTCAACGGTCGACTAATCCTCCTTATCTATCTATAAACTCCACGGCTACCTTCAAAATCTATGACTAAAGACAGCTAGCCTCTTCGTAGTCTTCCGATTTCAGCAGTCACATCTCACAGTCATGATGAAGGATACAATGAAGTGCTGCACATTACATAAGCGTCTTTTGATCGATAATTGGATATCAGGTCTAAACCAGAAATGACGTCATTTGGAAAATGAATGCTACACGAACATTTTGTATCTGTGCTGAGAGATTTTGTCAGCTATCTTCATTAGTCCATTAGGGTTGATGCAAATTCCCAAATAAGTGAAATAGTCAACACACTCAAACCACACCATTCCCCATATCTTTGAACTGGGAGACATTGCGGTTCAGTTCTGCAGCGCCACCTGATGTCTGACAGAGACGAATCGAATATGCCTAAAGCATATTAAGTTTTCTGCTCAAAATGTTTTGTCAACATCTTCAGGATTTCATCATGAACTGATATTGGTTAGAGGACCATTAGAAAACCATCTGGAAGTACTGGACATTCAGCTGTTTCGTCTTACTTCGGGACTCTTCAACAGTACGCACCCGCTGCTAGGGTTCGAACCCTGGTGTTTCAGGGGTAGCGCTATACTGTCAGTCAATCAACAGAAGTTACAGTCCACGAATCACTGAATTCCATCTTGCCTTATAACCAGTAGATCCCCGGGGTAGACCCCTTTTAGACTCATGTATGCGCGCTGCTGAAGAGTCCTGAAACCAAGAACAAAAAGTTTCCCATTGTACTTCGTGATTTTCAAATATATGCTGACTGATACTTTAGTTTGTGACAAAATCTTTATCGAAAATAATGATGATATATGCACACACACACTAAAAAAGCAGCATATGTAATAAACGCGCTTACCGGATCACAGAATAACCAATCTTTTAAACTTGACATATTTTGAGATGAATTCGTCAATATATCGAAACTTTCAGAGGGAGATTTATCTATAAAAAAAGGAAAAAAAGGAAACAAGATTAGAAGGTGTGAATAACGCAGTCATTGAAGTAATTAGAAGAACAGTCGCGGACACACACACACACACACACACACACAATATGCACACAGTTACACAATAACTTTAGTCGCCCAAATACACATGAATACGACAGATGATGCGTAAATTATTCTTCGCACCGTAACTTTTAACTATTTTTTTAGAAAGCGGTGTTTAATTGATCTATTTATTGTGCAACTGATTCTCAATTAGTGAGTTTCACATCCGAACCTTATGTCATCACCACCCCTAACGCTGTTTAAAAAATGACACCAATGTTAAGTCAGTCAGTTCTTCTATATGGGTCGTAAACTTGGCGCCAGTGTCACAAAAAACATTTCAAACAGGCTAATAAGGAATTTTATCAGCAGTTGCCACCTTCACTGGCTCCAAATTCAAGATCAAATGGCAGACCAGAAAGAATTACCAAGAACCGATTGCTCAACATATATGTAGGAGACGGATTTAGCGCACACTGAGGAGATCGCCAAATGGCATCGCACGCCAGACCTTCGCTCGAGTGAAACCCGAATGAGAAACGACGAGCTGGGCTGAGGGTCGAGGGTGACATGGAGGAGATCGTACAAGGAAGAAATAAAAGACTATGAGTAGTCGTGGGCCCAGATAAAGAGGGCTGTAGAAAAAAGGACACGGTGGAGATGTGCGGTTGAAGCCTTGTGTCCCACCAGGGACCCAAGGGAACAATAATAGTGAGTTAAAGAATAGTGACTTAGGGAGGGAGGGGAACACAGACGCACAAGTGATCTTGAAACGAGCAACCAGAGGAAATTAGTGAAACTAGATGAAAGATACGACATTTGTTAGACAATGATGAAAGAAATGTAAGAATATTAAACAGGATATGCAGCTAGTTTGGGGTTCAATCGTTTAAAGGTCTCTGGTGCGTTCATTACCTAATTTCCCCCTCCTTCCATTGGGTCTCTATACTTTAACTTTGCCACATGGGCCAAGTAGTATTAATATTCATCAACCTTCATGGAACCATCGGTGCTGAGTATTTTGGCTTACAACTTCCTTTTCTCTGCTATTTCCTTTTTCAGTAGTAATTACAAACAAAATGTGAAATGTGAACACCCATCATATACTACTAATTGATTGAGACGAGTACTTGAAGACTACTCACACCGACGACCAGTAGTGCTTATTGACCAATCAGATCGAAGTGATGTAATCATCGAATGACAGTTTTCCGTCGTTTTACACTAAGCTTATCGTCAGTGTACCTAGTTTAACTCAGGCAAATAAAGTTGAATCATCAGTTCAAAAACACTCGAATTCTGGCTAGCTGCTGGAGAGAACCGGTAGTACGTATGTATATACAAATAGATTCTAATTTGCTATTTTTCAAATTGTAGCGTTTGTAGTGAAAAAGTTCATCACCACTGTACCACATGACCAAATAACAAATACATCAATTTCACAGCAATTATAAGTAATTAGAATTTAATTGGTGGATGATAACTAGCAGTAGAGTAATCCAGGATAACGCGCATTTCGTCCTATTTGAGACTCGTCAGCTGTGTGCGCCTGCATTTCCGAGTGAGTGATGATGTGCCCATAGTTTCAAACTCCAAAGCGTTATCCACTACACCACTTGGGCCATGAGAGCCACCTCTTGTGTAACGGGTCATATTAGTTATTCAATTGAATTTTAGATTTTCCTGTCCACTGATTGGACCGAAGTGCTCGGTCTCATTCCATTATGGATAAGATTTTATTTTGATAAAGTCTCACAGTGTTATACAGTAATATTTACTGATGACGTTTCGAGCACAATTTATTGCTCATAATCATATCAAGGTGATATGGGTAACACTGTGTGATTTATCAAAATAAAATCTTATCCATAATGGAAGATATGCAAATGAAAAGCAACAAGTTGGCAGAAGAAGCATCAAACATAGGACTTCCTTCAGGTGAACATAGAGAAGACAGAGGTGATGAAGATTCCCGGCCAACAGCAACAAAAACAGACAATGATCAGCATAAATATGAGAAATCTGAAAGAAGCAACCTCCTCTACCTACCTGGGAAGCATCGTTTCAACTACAGGTGGACGGAACTGACGAGAATATAAAGGCGAGGATCGGGAAAGCAAGGCAAGCTTTCATTACTCTCAAGTCTGTGTGGAGATAAACAGTACTCAGCGTGAAAATGAAAATAAGATCCGGATTTTCAACTCCAATATTAGTGAAGTCAGTGCTACTTACTATGCTGATTACAGGTTTGGCGCCGCGTCACGAAGGCCATTTCAAACAAACTACACACCTTCATCAGCAGCTGTCTTCGCTCAATACTAGTCAAGATGGCCGGTCAGAAAAGATCAGCAACTGGGATCTCTGGGAGCGAACAAACCAGGAACCGATTGTGAAACAAATAGGCAGGAATAAATGCAGGCGGATTGGCCATACTCTGAGAAAACATACCACCAAGTGAGTGACATCACAAGCCAGAGCATCGCTCGAGTGGAACCCTAATGAGAAGCAGCGAGTTGATCATCAGTGCGAGGGTGAAACGGAGGAGGTCATGTGAAGAGATGAAAGCATGTGGGCAAACGTAGAGCCAGGTGAAAACGTTGGCGGAGAACCGAACGCAATGGAGACGTACGGCTGAAGCCCTATGTTCCTCTAGGAACTAAAGAAAACAATAATAATAATAATAATACAAGTCTGACTAATATCCTCCACGATGATATTCCTGACTCAAGGTGGACTAAATCATGCAACAGACTGTGGAGAGCGAGAAGACAGGAATACATTCGACGGACATAAACAACCTAGACGATATGGACATCGTATATGATGTAAGTCTAATCTCACTTAAACTCGAAGATATACAAGCCAAAACGAACAACTTAACATAAGAGGCTAACAGCGAAGACAGAACTTTAAGTGAACATAGAGAAGAGACACAACAAGCACTAATCACTATCAACCGAAGAAATTTGCAAAAGAGATTACTTCCTTCACCTGTCTACGAAGCATCCTTTCAACTACAAGCAACAGCACGGATGACGAGGTCAAGACCGGCCAGGATCAGAAAGGTAAGAGACATACTTTGATTACTCCCCAGTCAGTGTGACAGTCTTTTTCACTCACTCAGTATAAGGAACAAGATTCGAATTTTCAAGTCAATCAGTGCTTCTGGATTGTTCAAAGACAACATAGCGCGCTGGTGTCACCAAAAGCATTTTTAACAGCCTGTTGCACTCATTTTCTTCAAAAGATGCCTTAAGAAAAGATAACAAAAGGAGGGAATGCAGATGGGTTGGACATCATATACTGAGGAGATCGTTGAATAATAGAGAACGCTAGGTAGGCCTTCAAGTGAAACCTGAATGGCAAAAAAGCAACGAGTTGATCGTAGCTCCAAGGGTGACATAGAGATCGTGTGACACAGAGGAGGAAATTGAAGCTGCGCTTATGGTCAACCATATGACCAGCTTTTAAAAAGTAAGAGACATGATGCTGGAGCTATATGTTCCACTCGGGATTCAAGGGAATAATAATATAACCATCGAAACAAGGTATAGCAAGCTGGAGGTTTTAAACAAAGTGATATTTAAAAATGATTATACAATGTAAACGCAATACAGGTACAACAATTGAGAACGTAAAGTTTTATCATTGCCATTACTATTATTATTATTATTATTATTATTATTATTATTATTATTATCAATTACTACAACAATTACAGATCGAAACATAATGTGAGGTACAATAAAGCTTGTCCAGGATGACAGTAGGAAAGAGGAAGACAGGGAGAGGAATGGAGATTGAGAACAAAACTGACATAATGTTAATAATATTTCAAAAAACATAGAGTTAGACTTATTACTATAATTAATTAATATTAAAACATAAACTTCGTACATTATGGGCACCCTTCGGTTCTGAGTAGAACCTAAGGGCAGGGAGGTCTTCGCAAACACACCGGCATTTCATCCTGTTCCCTGAAGCCCTTCCCAAATGATTACATAATCGCTCATAAGTTATCATTTCATCCTCCACCTGCCTTTCACGCGCAGCTCCCTTCTTCATCACGTCCAACTCGAGAGGTTGGAGCATGATGTCACTCACAATTGTCTACAACTCAGCGCATATTTGAAAACTATCTCCATCTCCATTATGGATAAGATTTTTATTTTGATAAACTGTCACACAGTGTAGTGTTATACAGTAATATAAACTGATGTAACCACGTTTCCAGCACAAACTATTTGCTGCTCATAATCATATCAAGGTACTCACTCACACATCTTCCTTGCTTCATTTATATACATGAGTGGAACTGATTAGATATTTGAATAAAAATCAATATAAGATAATGTACATTCAGAAATAATAATAATGATACCTAAGGTAAGAATGGTTAACCCTGAGAAGATAAGTAATTTAGAAAAAAGCTCAGCGATTGCACTGCATGCATTAACACACAATCACACAATAGGGTGGGTGGGACAGAGTTAAAATTCTAAAAAGTAATATAGGTAGGTGGAGACAGAGAGAGATTGATTACTGAATCCAGCCTGATTCATCGTGTCTACACCCAAAACAACACATGCAACAGAAATGACTCAACGCAAATACCAGAGATACGGGAGATATTATTACCACCAGTCAGTCAAATCAGAGGAGGATAATAAATAATCTTAAAGTTTTATTTCAATTCACATTATAACATTCTAACAAGTTCCTTATCTGAATGTGTTTGATTGATAACACTCATATTATTATTTCTGAATGTACATTATCTTATATTGATTTTTATTCAAATGTCTAATCATCAATTTTTACTCATGTATATAAATGAAGCAAGAAAGTTGTGAGTAGTGACTTGATATGATTATGAGCGGCAATAGTTTGTGCTCGAAACGTGGTCGCATCAGTTAATATTACTGCATAACACTACACTGTGTGTGATTTT